ATCATGGGTTTCAACTCCAAGGAGCGTGGCTTTGAGAACAGCAGGTAGCAAACTCCTTAGGAAGCAGAAGAGAGGAGAATTGTACAAATATAGTCAGGGAATTTGGGGGTACCTTAGCAAGGTACAGCTACATTGTAGCCTCTTTGACCCCATGGACAGCAGAGGTTAAGGGCACAGGCCGATGGCCACCTGCATGGGTTCAGCGCCCCCCTCCCCCAGGCTATTTATAGGGAGTGTAATTGTCAATGGAGTAGAAGATTCTTGGTACCTGGGTTTCTTCATCTGAGAATCAGGAGCACTAGCAGGATTTCCAAAGACTCAGTAAATCTGTACAAACAACAATGTTCCTTCTAGTAGGCTGGCCAGGGACAGTTCATAGCATCAGTGACCTTTAAAAGAAGTGTGGAATTTTTACTCTCTTTCAAACAGAATGAAGTTGGTTTACAGATAACTCTTGCTGTAGGACTTCCTAGCAGCCCCCAGCCTCAGGGTCCCTTTCTACAAAAAGGCAATAATGGAGGGCTAGTCTGCTGTAAAATTGCCTTAGAACCAAGCAAGGCAGAAACCAGGCCAATACTTTTGAAAGCAGAAATGATGATAGGATCAGGAAGGGAAATGAACATTCTCATATGTATAGGAGTATGGGGTCCCCATTTGCAGGTGACACTGGCAAATACCACACAGTGAGGGTCATGTCCTTGGACTGTCATGTCATTATGTGTAACAGAGGGAAATGGGACAATAATATAAACTTGTACAAGGATCCCTCCTAATGTAGAATCAGGCCATGGATACACACCAAAAATATCTAGAATAGCATATGGTTGTAAGGAATGCAGATGTTTTAGAAGCTGGAATGAACTCTTGGGGACAGATTTGGAGGTGGCAAAAGACTGCCACTCCACTCAGGTAGCCATGCTCTATCCCATGGCACTAAGAAGCTGGGGCCATTAGGGCCCTTCCTTGGGAAGTGTCTGAAGGTGGAGTGGCAAGGTCACTGGAGTTCTGTGGTGGCCCAGCTTTGCACATGTTGTCTGTCTCACACAATGGCTGACACCTGCACCTGTCTCTTTCCTCGATGGAGCCCCTGTCATGCTGTGGTGAACATTGGAGCTGAGTTTAAGTGACTGGAGCTGAATTCTTCTCAGGAGACTGATTTTGCCTAATAGAACAGCCTCTCAGATTCCCTAGTTAGCTAGCAGCTGCCAGGCCTGAGACAGCTGCCATTCTGCTTTGCTTTGAGTTGACGGACAAGAACAAGGGAAGAGCCTAGCAGGGGTCAGCAGAGCTAACCAATCATCCAACTTCTCAAGGGATCTCATATGCATTCACTGACTTTTCAGGGCTCAGATTTCTCTCCAATAGACCTGAAACCATAAGGATGCTGCATAGGGAAATATTATGTCACTATAAAGTGTCAGCCTTTAATAGGATGCCATTTAGGAAAGGCTTAAATTTAAAAACAAATACTTGGAGAACTGCTTAAGGGTCTCATCGTTAGCAGCTGCATCGATGACCTCTGTCACCACTCACCTCCAACCGAACACACATTCAATCTACCAGCCCTTGCTGAACACCTGCCAGGCTTCAAGCACCAGCAGATACATCTAGATACAAGACTAGGGGTGGCTCTTGGGGAACTCAGTCCACTGGAGGAAAGAACATTGGAAAACAGGACAGTGCCATTTTTTTCATGGAGCTACATAGAGAATTCGGCCCACTTGCATTAACATCAGCCTTCTTTACCCAAATCATGAGTGTGAAGAAACATGAAGAGTATCCTGTTGCATCTCCAAAGAACCTTGGAGGTGGTCAGGGTTTCTACTTTTCACACCTAGAAGCAATCAAAGCTGTTCCTGCAAGTAGCCAGTGTGGCATGGTCACCTTCAGGTCCCCTGCTTCGTTCCTCCAGGATCCCTGCACACTTGGTATTTCACAAACTTAAGAACTTGATTCTGTAAGATCCACGATGCCTACTCTGTCTCATAGTAGTCCAGAATGGGGTTATAATAGAGAGGACCAAAGCCCTCAATAGCCTGGGAGAAGTAGCCTAGAAGCTTGAAAACAGAGGCCTTGCAGTTGAAAGAGCAGGACACAGTTGTTAGAAGACCCATAGACCTTCCCCAATGGGGAGTTAGACATAGTCTTGGTCAACAAGATAACCCACACCTGTCCAGATGAGAACAATGGGTACCAGGACCCTGACCCAAAACCACTGGGCTGGGTCCTGTGTCCCTTCCCATTATCTCAGAGTGTGACTGTCCTCTCAAAGACTCATCCTAGGCTGACTTCTGTGGCACCTTTTGGACCTCCCTGGGGGAGTAACATATAGTTGTCTGATTAATTACCTTACAGAGAAGCAGGTTTCCTTATGGCATTTTCGTTCATGCCTTGTTTTGCTTGATTCCCCTTTCTATGCTTCTATCCTGCATCTCTCCACTGCCCCCATAACTTCTGTCCCCTGTACCTCCTTCCCCTCTCATATGTCATATGTTATGTGATTTCCCTCATCACTGCCCTCCCTTAAAGCCTATTTTTCCCTCCTCGTGGAACTCTTTCTAGTTTTCTAGACTTTACCCACATTTACTCCCACCCAGATGCATTGCTAGAGAGAGAATGCAGTGTTTGTCTTCAGATGGTTACCTTGAATTATGTGTTTTTAAAAATGCTTCTAAAAACAGCCTGAAGCTGAGGTTACCCTCCAGGAATAGGAAAAGGAACCCTGAAACTGGTCAGTGTATAAGAGAAACTTCACCCCCTCATCTGTTTCTCATTAGAAAGCAGCTATTGGGTGGCACTGCAGAGGGAGATGCTGAGTTCTTGGCTCATGTTGGTACCAAGGAGCACCATGGATGGTCACTTGCACCAGAAAGACAGAAGGTCAATTCCAGCTCACTTGGCTCTAGCTGGGAGCCTCTGGCTTGTGGCATTGAGGCTCCTCCCAGGACATTTTAAAGTCCTTGTCCTTGGCAATATGATTGGAGTATAACAAATTCAGATCTGAGCTGCCTGCTCGGAGGCAGGGCCCTTTACCACTCAATGGGTGACCCTGGGCCAGACTGAAAGGCTTTCCTCAATTATGGTGGCTGCTACTGTCCCTTATCAGAGTGCTGTGGTGTGATATTTGCGTGTAACCTACGCATGTACTCCCATGTACCTTAAACCATCTTGAGACTCATTATACTACCTAATGCCATGCAAATGCTATGTAAATAGTGGTTATGCCATATTGCTTAGGGAATAGTGTCAGAGAAAGAGGTCTGTCTATGAATGTTCAACACAGATACATTTTTGTCTAATGTTCAACACAGATAAATTTTTTCTGAATATTTCAATCCACAGTGGGTGGCACCTGTGGATACAGAATGTACAGGCAGAACTGTTCATTGTTTTCTATCATGCTTTAAAATTTTAAATTGAAATGTAGTTTTCATGCCAGTGTTTACTAAACCCCTGTGGTTTTTAGAATAGTCTCAGATGGTACCACCAGAGCCCATCTACATTCAGAATATTCCTTGATCTGTGAATGGAGCCCATCTGTGTCCCTGGGCACTCCTCACCCACAGTTGCCCTCTCTGACCTTCCAGTCTGATTTCACTCATTGCATGGTCTTCTGGTCACAGGCCTCCCAAAGCTGGAAGATTCGGTGGACTTAGCAGAGCCCCCGTTGAGGGCCCTACCCTGCCTGGGGAGTGGTGGGTGGATGTGGTGGGGGGTAGACTGGGGGTGGGGGAGGAGGGTTGGGGGTGAGGAGAGGGAGAGGGAGAAGGGACTTGAAACAAGCTTGTTCCCTAACTAGAACTAATAAATAAATTAAAAAAAAAAGAAGTAGTAACTAGCTTCAGAAAAGGGAGGAGGATTGGAGTCACGTTGGAGGTGAGGAGTGAGCCAGCACTGGCTGAATGCCCTGACAGGCCCCTTCCAGCTTGCCCTGTGCTTCAGGGGTCCCTGCTGTTGCATCCTGGTATGGTCTGGAACTCTCATGGGCTCTGCCATAAGCGCTCCATAGAGGATCTCAGAAAAGCTGACAGGGACATTCTCTCTCCTGAGAGCCATCCCTGGTGATAAGTGGCTTAGGACAAGCCATCACATACACCCAAGGGCTCTGAGGTCATGGAGCCTGAATAGGCCAGCAGACCTCTGCCCATCGTGCTAAGTCTTCAGGTTTCGGCATGTCTCATTCTCTCCTGGACTATTTCCTTTCCCTGTCTTAGGAAATAAAACACACCAAGTGCTCATCTTGGAGCTAGAGCCTTTGTCCTCCCCATCAGTGCTGCCTATGTGACTTGCTCCTACACAGGGCACACAGTGGGAGCATATTTGTAAAGTTGGGTGACAGAAAAGCATGCCACCTTGATGGACACAAGAATTTATGCTTCATGCTGCATTAAGGTTGCACTGTATGGGAGTCACTGCACACAGTGAATTGATGGCATGTGTTGGAAGTGGCCATTTGTCTTTCCCTACCAGCTGGAAAGTGAACATCCTCCACAGATAAGGGCTCCCTGTCCCCAGGAAAGGCCTTGGAGACAATGCCATCTTTCCTGTCCCTATCTTCATTAAAATAGGAAGATGGTGGGCACTACACAGGGGTCTTGATCCAGTGTTCACATTCAAGCAAGTCTGACTCCATGCCCATGGCAGCCTGGGAAGATGCTGAGGGAGTAGAGGAGATAGACGGAAACCACAGGTTGGCTGTGGTGATCCAAGCTAGGGGAACAGCCATCTCTGGTACTTCTCAAGTGGTCTGGCTGCCAGGATCTACTTTCTTTTCATATATGTTCTAGGTTACCATCTCATGGAGATGCTGAAGACTCTACACCAACTCAGTTGGAAAATGCTGTGGGCACAGCACTATTATCTCATCTGTTCTGTTCCTTCCCTTAGCAGTGGGGACAAGCTGAGCAAGCAGGCTTCCTGTGAACTTCAAGATGCTCAGTCCAGTGTCCCCAATAGATCAACCAAAGGCCCCCTCCGTCAGCAAAGTCTTCTCCCTGCAGGAGAGCACCTGGCCATACTTGTTTGGAGTGATCGTTGTCCCTGCCTTGGTCCAGCTGGCCAGCCTGCCATTTCTCCCTGAGAGCCCACGCTACCTCCTCCTTGAAAAGCATGACGAGTCAGGAGCCATGAAAGGTAGGGCCCTTTCCTTTCGTCATACAGTGGCAGGCTATGCCTGGGTCACAGCAAGATGCTATGCTGAGGACCAAGTGGCCAAACAGGGCAAGCAGCAGCCTCCCTGCAAACACTGTGCTGGGTGCTGTGGGACAGCCTCTCCCTTTGCCTCCCCAGCAATGGACACTGGTCAGATAGCAGAGGCTCTGGAATATGAAGAAGGTGGCTAAAAAGAGCCTAAGAGGTCTGATTCCAGAAAGCAACAGGGCTTGATAGAAGAAACCGAGTACTCCTGTGGAGACGTGATACATCCTGATTTGGGGAAACTACCCTCCACCTGCCCGGCTAAGAAAGGGCCCTTGGGAAACTCATTAATTACATATAATCAGAATGGGCAATGTGGGATGCAGTGAGTGAGTGAGACTCTAAAGTTTGATTTCATAGCACAGTAGGAACGTGCGTGCATATGCATGAGTGTGTGTGAGTGTATGTGTGTGTGTGTGTGTGTGTGTGTGTGTGTGTGTGTGTGTGTGTGTGTTTAGTATATACATCTTAAGTCATAAAACATGATAAATACTGCACCTCTGCCTGGGAAAAAGAACAAAGCTATTGGGATTCTGGCCTTGGGTTGAAATAGAATACTGAGATCTGCATTTCTGTCAATAACTACCAATTTCACAGCAGGTGTTCAGCAGACAATCAGTTTTTGACATGCTGGGTGTGGGAAAGACAGGAGCATGAGATGGCATCTCTGCCCTCCTGGAGTGACTGAAATGGTCAGTTATGAGGGACAGACATGTCTGAGGGTAGATAGCCTAGGAAATATGCTGTTTGCTGAGCCTGTGTGGACCCTTGCATTCAATCTCCAGATCCCCAAATAAACAGAAGTCTGGATGTGGTGAAGCACGCATTCAATCCCAATATTCTGAAGGCAGAGATGGGAGGATCCCCATGAGCTCAAGAGCAGACTAGGTTACAGAGTAAGAGCCTGTCTTTATAGGAAACAGAGGGAGTGACACTATCCATGAGTGGCACATCTGTACTGGGCACTGGCCTGTATTAGTTCATTAAATCCTCACAATCATAGGAAACTGAGCATCTGGTCAATTGGCCAATGACACAGAGAAGCCAATGGTAGCATTGAACTTGAACAACAACAAAAACAAAACAAAACAAATAAAATGGATGCACACTACATTTCCTGTCTCCTTGCTTGACACTGCAAGAAATACACTTGGCCAGTCTATTGAAAATATTGGGGGGAAAGGTCTTGTAACAGTCAGATCTTGCATAATACTGCATAACAAATGCCTCAAAACTCAGGACAACTGCATTTGTTTTGGCTCATGTGTCTGGAGAGCAGCTGTGTATTCTGTTAACCTTGTTGTCCTTGAAATTCTACCTAGGGTAAACGGAGGTTCATTTACCTATTCAGTGCTCAGCAGCCTGACCAAGGTTGGCCTCAGCTGTTCTCCATGTGGATCATCATCTCAGAACAATCTTAATCTAACCCTCCAAGACACACCCAGAGTGATATGTATTATTCCCCTGGGTGTCTCTCAACCCCATCCTGCCAACAGTCAAGACTAAAGGTGGCAAAAGACAAAGGAATGAAAGTCATTGATGCAATTGAGGCTGCCAGGCAGCTGGATTCAGACTGGAAGAGTGTCTGCCTAAGAGAGGACAGTACAATCACACAGATTATTCTAGAAAGTAGAACTAGAGGCAGAGGGGCATCCCATGAGAAGATTTGACTGAAGAAGACAGGCTCTCTAGATGGTAGGATGGGGCTGTGAGCCAGGCAACGCAGGCAGCCATAGGAGCTGTGAACAGTCAAGGAGACTCGCCTGTGTGCCCCATCTGTGGCACTGAGCTAATTGGGTTAATTATGCAACTGGCATGATGAACTTCCAACCTGGTTTTGACAATGGCTGGGCCACAGGAAAAGTCATTTTTCTGGGAAGAGCCACCAAATACCTCTGAGCTTCCTGGCAGCTAGAGAAAAGGAATGTATTGGTTTCTCCATTGGCTCTCTCATCAATGTCCCAGAACACAGAACCCCAAGGATAAGATAAGGAGTAAAATCAGGCAGAGTGCTGAATCCTGTAGTTGGTAAAATGGTCCATCAGGAACCCGATGCCCTCATAAATCAGGGTAGTGTCATCCTGTGCCAAGAGCCACAGGAGAGAAGCCCTGGGTCCCAAGGGAGAGCTTCCTGAAGGAGATGGAAGCTGAATGGGCGCGAAGGTGATTGGCATGAGGATAAATGTAGAATGTGTGCAGTTAGGTTAGTGCTAAGCCTGTGAACTTGTGGGGCTGGATCAAGCACCTGCAGACCAGGAAGGAATGGTGTGTGTTTATTTGATTGCTTTAAACCAGTGTTCTTGCTCAATCCTACCATTGCTGTCATTCATGAGGGGCAATCTTCGCATGCACCCCAGCTCAGAGTGGCCCTCCAGAAGCATTAGTTCCATCTCTGTTATGTTCATTGTAATTCCTTCCTGAAGACAGCCACATATCTAGCTGTCACATGACTGTCAAGGTCACATAGGGACAGAGGTAGGGCTTCAGTAGAACCCAGCTCTTTCTCTCCCATCCTGCAAGAGCATCATGATATTTTGCCCACTTAAAGCCACACCTATGGAGATATGAATGTCATTAGCGGCCATACCAGGGAAAGCAATAGTCAAATCACCTGCAGTCCTAGAGGAAGAGGGTTTTTCCTCTGCTTAGAGGTGGCTCTAAACTCTTTTTTTTGAAAATTTTATTTATTTATTATGTGTACAACATTCTTCTTCCTTGTATATCTGCATACCAGAAGAGGGCACCAGATCTCATAATGGATGGTTGTGAGCCACCATGTGGTTGCTGGGAATTTAACTCAGGACCTCTGAAAGAGCAGTCAGTGCTCTTAACCTCTGAGCCATCTCTCCAGCCCGGCTCTAAACTCTTGTACGGGAAGAAGACAGTGCAAAAATGGGTCATCTTGTCTCTGACCACCTCCTGTCATTGCCATCACTCGACCTGAGCTTGCATCACCCACACAGACTCACAGCAATGCAAGAGCGGAAATCCCTACTCTCCTCCGGAACTTGATCCCTCGGTTCCTTGATCTCCTAAATATTAAAAGGCAGTAAGTACAGAGTGGGCAGTGGTCTGGTGTGGCTCATACATCCCCTTAGCACTGTCTCTCTGGCTACCTACTTGCAGCAGCAGCAGCAGCAGCAGCAGCAGCAGCAATTTTGCCTCCTGATTCTCTTAGCTGGTAGGTCTCTGTGGCCAGCCCCACTACACAACAACCTGCAGAGGCTGAAGCTAAATGGAACTGAACCAAGTCTCCTCTTAGCCTCTCTGTTCTATGGGATTTTCGCAGCTTCTTTTGAGGTGTGAGGAAAAAGTGATCAGATAGCTGACTTTCCTGAGGTCATCTGGGATTCTCCCAAGCCCCTAGAGGGCAGGGCACATAGCAGCACCCACCTTCCAAGGCTGCTACAATAGGGAGAAGGTCTGTGAGGTGCATGGCACATAGAAGGCACAGCTAATGTCAGGCTCCCGATTCCCCAGGGTTCCAGCTCTGCTTTGGTCTCAGTGAGTCTGTAGGTGGCACTAGATCTGAATCCCTCACCACTTCCAGCCCTGAAGCTGACTGGGCCACCCAGGAGACTTCATTCCAGATGAGAAATGAACATGTTCTCCTTTTTCAAATTCTTTAGAGCCAATGACTAGAGTGTGTCCAAGAATATGAATGAGGTGAGAGCTGTGGGAGACTTCTTGCTGTCAAATTAAAGAAAGGGTGTGGGGAGTGTCCTGGGAGAGGCCTGGGATGAACCACTTTTCAATGACATGGGTGAATGGACTCATGGAGGGCCATTCTCCATAGGATAATGTCTTTCTGAGATGAACTGTTGACTACAGGTGGCTAGGATCACTTCTTCTCTGGAGTCAAAGAGTTAAAATGAAAGGTGTCTGTTCTGTCCTCTCCTCCCCCCTCAGAAAATGACACTTCACCTGGTCCCATCATCCACATAGCTGACACATAGTCAGAGATCCCTTTGCCTATTTGTCTTCCTGTTGCAGCCTGGGTCCACAGCACCTCTGAGGTCATCACCATGCCCCTGTACACTTCTGGGGGTGGAGAACTCAGTCCCCAAAGCCAGCCCATCCTTAGACACGTGAGTCAGGAAGTTCCTATGCTGGGTGATGCCCTCACATCAGAGCTTCTGGCAAGATCTTGTTAGAGACAAAAGGTTTGCATGCTCCCAAATTCATATGTTGAGGTCTTAAGCCCCTGAACAATGGCATTTAGAAGCCAGGCTCTTGGGAGGTGATTAGATTAAATGCTGTCTTGAAGGTAGGACACCAAGGATACTATTAGTGTCTTTAGAAGAGAGACAAGAGTTTTCATCCTCTGCCTCTACCTGCCTCTATTTCTCTTTCTCTGTTTCTGTCTGTGTGTCTCTGTTTCTCTCTGTCTCTGTCTGTCTGTCTGACACACACACACACACGCACACGCACACGCACACGCACACGCACACGCACACGCACACGCACACGCACACGCACACGCACACGCACACGCACACGCACACGCACACGCACACGCACACGCACACGCACACGCACACGCACACGCACACGCACACGCACACGCACACGCACACGCACACGCACACACGCAAGCACATATGGAATGGAAGGCCATACACCAGTCCAGAGAACCAACTCAATGGTACCCTCTATTCAGACTTCTGCCTCCAGACTATGAGACTGTCTAAGCCCTAGCCCTAGCTATTCATTCCAGCAGCTGAAGTCAACCAAGACAGCTCCCAGGGACCATATCTGATGCTCAGAAGGAGACTTCAGGAGCACCTAGGCCCAGCAATGCTCCTAGCCTCATCTGTCCCTGGCTCATTTGCCAATGGTCCACTGCAATCGCCATCCAGCTGTGAGACAGTTGTAAGCACAGATGTGGGCAGACAATTCCCAGACTCCAATACACCATATGTTCTTCACAACCAGGA